AGAAGGTAAGGTAGCAAAGGAGAAAAGCTATTGAATGTTTGAGTGTTCCGATTAAAGAAGCGAATACATAAAGCCAGTTTTTTTTGTAAGGAAACGAAGTCGCTGCTTAAAAAGTACCTTCGAAATCTTTTTAGGTTTTAGCTTTAATTTCCAAATAATACAGTATACGGTTCAGACTAAGGGTTAAGGTTTAATTCGGTCCTGCCATAATAGGACTTGTAGTGATGCTCACCGATCAAATTTTGTCCTATTGATATCGGTACGATTTTAAATCGATAAGATTGGAGAAAAATATATCGGTTTCGATACAACAAAATATCGATAAATATACGAAAATCTTTGTAACTTTCTTATTATAATAACATAATCATATTAATTTCAACACAGCTTTTATGGAAATTAATAATAGCTCTCCAATGGAGCAATCTACTTCATTGGTTTTATAATTATAAAATAGAATGCAAAAAATTTAAATTGCAAAAAGTTCAAAATTCCAATAGTCATTTTCGCCTTCAAAAAGTCCTTAACACTTCCTCATTTATTTTCATTTTACATTAGTCTTCGGTACGCGATATGCTCAGCTGGACTGCGGAACCCATTAGCCGACCCATGTTGGCATTGTCACGCGACAAAGCAGACAAGAAAACTGCCATCGAACTCTTCAAATTGGTGCAAATTTACATGGGCGATCGAAAGGCACGCGCTGGCATGAGTCTCAATTCGGTGGCGATCGATATAATAGTGGCAGCGCTGCCACAGCAACAGTAAGTTAATAAAAAGAAATGCGCCTACAAATTTGTATATTAATTAGTGAAATTAAATTCCACAGACTACGCGATGAATTGTATGTACAGCTATGCCGTCAGACTACAGAGAATCCGAAGCGTGATTCGCTTATACGCGGCTGGGAGTTAATGGCTATTTGTTTGTCTTTTGTACCGCCATCGCCCACTTTTCAACCGACATTGTTGAAGTATGTTTGCATAATGGAAGAAAGCATTCACTACCTCATTCTTTGTAAAATTAACAATTTCTTTAAATAGTTACATGAATCGCCATCGTGATCCCTCCTTCGCCACATCATTCCCGGAGGTGGGCAAATGGCCCATACACGTACAGATCTCACATTATGCAACTGTTTGTTGTCGACGACTGGATCGCATTGGTAGTCATGGTCGTCGGCAGGCAAAGAAGCCCACAGAAGATGAAGTTGAGCAGGCGAGGGTAAGAAACAATTCAAGCGCATACTGTACGCAACAACTTAAATTTAATGAAAGAAAGTTTAAATGTAGTTATAGAAAATCATAATAATTAAATCATTTATTTTCTAACCCGTATAGAATCAAATACTACGTGTCAGTATGTTTGGCAACACAATCGCTGAGGTTATGGACTTGCAAAAGGATAAGTTCCCATTCCGCAAACTGCCATGGATACAAACAACCTTGTCGGAGCATGTGAGTGGCATTGAAATCGAAAAAAAAGCATTTTTAATATTCAATTTCAAACTTATTTTGCAATTACATTTACCATGAAACTAGGTTCTGATATTGAATGGAAAACAAACTGAGGGAATTTTCCGCGTCTCCGCCGATGTGGATGAAGTTAACTGCTTGAAAAGTCGTATAGATCGGTGGGAAGTTCCTGATTATAAAAATAGCATGGGTGAGTTATGGTCATAATTGTAAATTAGTAATATTAATGGAAGATATTAATATAGATGATTCATAGAGCACACAAAGAAAGGGAAAGGGTGTTTTCGAAACTACAAAAGTAATAAAAATAGGGTAAAGGATAAGTTGTGATGGCTATGAGCCTAACAGTGTGGACGAATCACCCGAAAGAAAGCTCGTCGATCACTGATTCTCCGTCTGAGAGAGAATTTCGCTACCAACCTGTCAGGCCTTTTTGTTGGTTTGCATGTGTCAAAACTACACCCATGAGCTTTCTTAATGAAATCCTTGATGTATCAGATTGTACCCGCTATGCTTGGTCTTAAAATTTGGTCCAGTCCAATTGGACGCTCCAAAGAAACGCAATTCGGCAGTTCCTGGCACTCGAATCAACATTCCTGCAGTATTTTTGAAGAGATGCGTGCGTTTTCCAAGGCCCTTAGAGCTCGTAACTGTCACTACATACCCTCATTTTAAGTCCACGCCACCTTTCGCCAATTGTCCAGTGTTGCAAAGCCTTCCGTGAATTTTTCATGTCAGCTTCGTATTTAGAGTTATCCTTAGATAACTCCAACCGCAAGGTTGAGGCCTTCTAATTCTCTTTTCCACGTAAACAAGACTAGGGCTGATATGTAGTTTATTATATTCATAACTTAAAAAACTTACTCCTATAGTATACTGATTTAGAATTAAGATTTTGTTGTTATTTTTAAAATTTTTACTTTTTCTACAGTGGATGCACATGCCCCTGCTAGTCTGTTGAAGCTGTGGTATCGTGAATTATATGATCCTCTCATACCGGACCAATTCTATGAGGAATGTGTCAATACAGAGGACCCTGTTAAAGCCAAAGAAATTGTTGATAAGCTGCCTGATTTAAATAAGTTGGTAAGTCCGAAACTGGGTTAAGGTAGCTATGTATATATTTAACAAATATTTAAAAATATAATGAGTGTAAAAATGCGTTTACTTTATATTTCTTTTAAAATATGTTACACCGTGCGACTGTAAAATTTACACTAACAGGCCTATTCTGCGTTGGTAACAAACATTTTGTTACCGGTTAGTAAAGTTACTGTCAACTTTTAAACCCTTTTCGTATTCTCCACACTCTTGTAACCAATAAATTTTGTTACCATCTCATGAGCAGGTAACAAAATATTGCCCCGTGAAATATGCAACACCAGAATTTCAACAAAACTCCATAGCTGAATTGCTGAATAAATTAAAACGTTACCAAGGTAAATAGAATTGCAGTTGTAAGAAGTGGTGACAATTGTTGGTAACAAAATTAGCTTGTTACATAATATTCGGTTACAAGCAGAATAGGCCTGTAAAAAGTCAATATACTCGCGAAACAAGGGGCCAAACAGAGTAAAACTGTGTTTTTAGCTTTTCTCTCGGGACTTCATCAGGATTTTTTTAAAGAGATTTTAAATTTCAAAGGTGTGATTAATTAAAAGAATTATTAAAAAAAAATCTGTGCAATGTAGAATAGCGATTTCGGCAATAAATGAAAGACGAAGTTCTGCAGATTTCGAAAAGATTAACTTTTTTGGTACTCAAGAACGAATAGGTATTAAAATGTCGCTTTGAAATTTATCTTTAAAAAATCCTTAAAAATTTACATTTATTGTTGAAAAAATTTTACGTTAAGCACCAATATACAACAACAAATTAATTAAAAGAGCGTTTTCAATACCTATTCGTCCTTATGAACCAAATAACTTTCATTTTTAAATACTACGAAATTTCTCTTTCATCTGTTGCCCAAGTGTGTGTTTTTTTTTTTTAAATAATCATATCTCTGAAATTTCGAAGTCCTTTTAAAGAAAAGCCTAACGTCACAGAGAAAAATAACACAGTTTTACTATATTTGAGTTTCGTGAGTATATTTTTTGCTACGATTTTTGGGATTTTGCCGCACGGTGTCATCTATCATCTAGTCAATATGATTTTCCTAAAAAATTGTACTTTAAACTTTTCAAGGTTTTAACCTACCTGGTGCACTTTTTGCAACAATTCTCCCACGCCGATGTGGTGAGCTGTACCAAAATGGACTCATCCAATTTGGCGATGGTATTCGCACCAAATTGTTTGCGCTGCACCTCGGATGATCCGAAAGTGATATTGGAAAATGCACGCAAAGAGATGGCATTTATGCGCACACTCATACAACACATGGATACAGCGCATGTGGCGAATCTCACTTGAGAATGTGAAGAGGAGGACTGAATGTAGAATATAAAATAATAATAAAATAAATAAAGTTAAAATATGTAAGTCAACAATTATAAGCCGAGAAAGGGAAATAGAAGTAGTGCAAAAGAAAAGATGAGAAACACCAAAAATAATGCGATTGCAAGAGGTTTTTATTTTATTTTTTCTATTTTTTGTTTTGTTTTTTTGTAAGCAGCAATGCATTACAAAGTTTGTATGTAATTAGTAATGTAAAATGAAATACTCATTTGGCAAGGAACACTGCAGCATTTTGAATTTTGAATATAAAATAATAAAACAGCAAATCAAAGTTATACAGTTATAAAAGTATGAATTCATATATATATGTATTTTACAAATATATACATATGTCATATATGGTATACTTACAAACATTTATAAATATTAACTAGCAAAGCGTTGAAATTGAAAAGTAGGTCACAAACACACAATACTCATATGTACATGTGTACATGCATTATTACATATATATACTATATATATATATATAAACCTATATACATACATACTATATATGCAATAT